TCGTCCGAGATTGACGCCGTCAACGGGCGCCTCACGGCGCTGGCAGATGCCGTGCAGGAGCAGCTTGCCAACATGGTGAGCAAGGAGGAGTTCCAGGAGCTGGAGACAAAACACAACAAGCTGCAAGAGCAAGTCGACAAGCTGGCAAAGGACCTGATTGAGCGGCTGGAGAAGCGAATCAACGAGGTGCAGAAGCAGATCGATGCCATGGTGCCGAGGATCGAGGGCAACGAGCAAGGCGTGGCAAACAACAGGGAGCGCATTGCCAAGGCACTGGGCCGCATGCAGGAGCTGGAGAAGTCGCTTCAGGCAATGCGAGATGACCTGGACGCAAAGGCAGACAAGGCGTATGTGGACGATGTCGTGGCAGAGCTGAGGGAGCAGATTGAGCAAATCAACATCGAAGAGAGTACGTTGCCCGACTCCTGCGATGGCGCATGTGTGCATGTGTGTGGTCGCGTGTGCGCGCGTGTATGTGTGTTTGCGTGTGTATGGGTGCGTGCGTGCGTGCGTGCGTGCGTGTGTGTGGTGCACGGCTCATGCGCTGTCCCCCCCCCCCTGCGCGATTGCTGTTGGTGCCGTCAGTCAAGGAATTGTTGGAGAGCACGAACAAGCGGGTGGATCTGATGGACGAGCGATGCGACAAATTGGAGGACGACCACCTCGACCTCCGCCGCGAGGTGTGTGTGTGTGTGTGTGTGTGTGTGTGTGTGTGTGTGTGTGTGTGTGTGTGTGTGTGTGTGTGTGTGTGTGTGTGTGTGTGTCACGCTGCAACTCCTTTTCCTGACACATGGTCTGCATGGCTTGGACAGAGAGTGAATTGTCTCATTGCACGCATCTCCTTCACGAATGCCACCCCGCCCTCCACTAACGCCCGTCCATGTACGGTCACACAATATGCGTGTGCACTGCGCAGTTTGCACGCTATCAGCAAGAGATGCAGGATATGCAGCTGGAGCAGCAGATTGAGAACCTCAAGCGCGAACTCGAGGAAGCAAAGAGCGGTAACCGACACCCTGCATCTTCGTGCTGCTGCTGCATGTGTGCGCTGAGTTGTGTGCGTGTGTGTGCGCACGTATGTGTATGTGTGCTTGTATGTACATGCGTGTATGTGTACATATGTGTATGTACATATGTGTGAATTGCTTGGGGGCGTGGGGTAGTGCCCAGCCTTTGTGCTCGCAACTCACAATTACGAAACCCGATCCAAACGCGCTTATGTGTTTGTGCGCGCGCAGGCGTGTTTATGAAGGCAACAGCCCGCATGGACGCAATGCAAAAGGAGACAGACAACATTCGCGAAACACTCACAACAACACAGGGTCAAGTGCAGGTGCGTGTCACGCACACGTGTGTTACCTGCCCCGCAGTGCCATTTCTGGCCTCCCCCTCCACTGCTACCACCACCACAACCACCACCACCACATGCATGACCAGCGTCTTTGCATTCACATTCACATGTCTGACCATCAACAACACCACCACTCCCAACACCGTCCACCACCAGTTGAACCGGGAGACGATGGAGGAGCTCGAGGATGCGATCCGGCAGATCAACCCCGACGCCGTCGACACCACCAGCAACCGGGGCACGCGCGCACTCATCCAGCAGCTCCAATCAGACGTCGCAAAGGTTAGCGGGCTCTGTGTGTGTGTGTGTGTGTGTGTGTGTGTGTGTTGTCGTCCACCCTTTGCTGTACACAATAGGCATTTACATTAGACTGCCAGCTCCTATTGGTCAAAGACACTCACACTACCCACCACCACCACCACCACCACCATCACCATCACCATCACCAGCTTGAGCAGCGGTATGCGGATGCTGCTGCGCGAGAGGCCGACGGGCGCGGGCGAGCAGAGGAGACACAGCAGCTCCTTGACGACCTCAGACTCAAGGTGAGCAGGAACGGGAGTGGAGGGGCTTGGAGAGGGAATGTGGTGGATGGGATCATGCGGGGTGGAAGGTCAGAGGGGAACATCTGTCATGTGTGCATCTGTTGGCTGGGCTTGCACGTGTTCACCCTCCTAGCACACTCGCACACACGTACTCGCTCACACACATTCTCGCTTACACACACGCGCCTGCTGTTGTCGTCGTTGTCGCACAGCTTGACGAGCTGCATCAAGCAAAGGCGGACAAGCACGTGATGGAGATGGCGCTGAATGTGAAAGCGGACAAAGACGCCGTTGCGCGTGATACAGAGCGGAACCTTCGGGCCGTGGATGAGGCACTGACGGTCATGAACGCGGGGACACAAGGCGTGCAGCAGCTGCTGGAGAAACAGGTGCGGTGGGCCTGGACGGCTCGTGCTGATCGTGGTGGTGGTGATCGTGGTGGTGGTGGTGGTGGTAGCACGAGTAGTGTAGGAGAGGAAGTGATAATGCACGTCGTGACAGAGGGCACGCGCGTGTGTGTGGATGCATTGCTGCACTCCTTGTTCGCACCACCACGGTTATAACCCTCTCACCACACCACCATCCTCACCACCACACCACAACAGGAGGGGCTGGTGCAGCAGCTGTCGAGCCAGCTGTCGAACAAGCTGGATCGGGACGAAATCGAGAAGATACAGAAGCGCCTTGAGAACCAGCAGCTCACGCCTGAGGAAGCAAGAGAGCAGCAGGAGGCAATCTTTGGCAAGGTGGGCCTGAATGGACACGTGGAGGAGGTGGAGGGGTGTCGTGTGTGTGTGTGTGTGTGTGTGTGTGTGTGTGTGTGTGTGTGTGTGTGTGTGTGTGTGTGTGTGTGTGTGTGGAGTGAACAGTGCCGATGCGGTGCACACGAGCGAGTTGTGTATTAACGCGTGTCAGTGATTGTCAAGCGTCAAGCACCCAAATTCATCTCACTACCACCATCATCATTATCACCACTATCACCCAACAGTACGGCATCTCGCTTGAGGAGGCGGCGGCGGGCATGCGACGGCCACTGGAGCCGTACGCCTGCATATCCTGCAACCGCCCCCTCCGACCAGGCAGCCAACCACCCATGCCATGTGAGTACCACCGACTGTACACCGCGCATTGTGGGATGTGATGTGATGTGATATGTGTGTGTGTGTGTGTGTGTGTGTGTGCGCGATATGTGTGTGTGTTTGGGGGGGGGGGGGTGTCTGAGTTTGTATCTGTAGCTTCGCCATTTCTAGTCACACAGGCACCGATACGCACATGCAAGTGTTTTTTTTTTTTTCACGCGCGTGCATTATTTTGCTTCTGTTGAGTATGTACTGACACCGACACACCTCCCGTCCATCCATCCATCCCCCCCCCGTCAACAACATCACCACCCCTGCCAACACGCCAGCGCTGCCGCTGCTGCCATCGAGCAAAGATGGGCAGCGACAGGCGCCGTACATTCCCCGCCGTGCACAGAGCGCATCGGTACAGCAGCGCAGCCGCGATGGGATTGTGGAGGTGTCGGAGTTGCCGCGATCAATGCGGTCTGCTGGTGGTGCACACACGTCGCCACGGCTCATGCAGACCTACAAGGAGCAGCGCGGCACACCACGCTCCGTCGTCGAGGTGACGCGTCGTCATGCTGCTTTCGTTTGTTTGTTTGTATGTTTGTTTGTTTGTTTGTGTGTGTTTGTGAGTGTGCGTGCACGCGCCGCATGTGTTGCCTCTTACATCTCCCAAGCTCCCAGCGTGCTGCCACCACCACCTCACCTATCACCACCTGCCACCACCGCTGTGCAGGTGCGACGAGACCCGCGACGGAGCGTGGAGCTGGTGGGTGAGGACGGACGCATCTATCACGGCAGAATCGGCAGCCCGCGCTCTCGACCATCGTCACGACCAACAAGCGGGAAGTGAACACCACCACCACCGCCAGCAACGGTGTGGTGGTGTCCCATCCAATCGGCGCTGCGAGCAACCTGTGACCATCACACCTTCGTCACCACCACCATCACTCTTGTTCATTGCCACATCGTGTCACCGCAATTGTTTTCTTTGTTCGGTGGGTTGTTGCGCGGGTGATCTGGCCTTGTGTTGACACACATGCATGTGTGGCCGGTACTCGCGGTATTTTGCTTCCTCTTCGTTCTGTCAACAGCTAATTTGGTTTCCCCGTATTCTTGGTGTGTTTCTGACCTCTCAATGCTGTTGTTTGCTTCACATCTCAGTTACAACAACAACAACAACCATTCTTGGTTTGCGTTCAGTGCTGCTTGCTTGCTTGCTTGTTTGTTTGTTTGTTCATTTGTTTGTGTGTGTGTGTGTATGTGTGTGTGTGTGTGTGTGTGTGTGTCCGCAGCACTCACTGCCTGTTTTGCTTGCGTAGTTTTGGTTGCTGGTGTTTGAATGCCGGTCCGCCTGTCAACGGCAGGAAAAGAATAAACCACCGAAGATAACAACAAAGGGCAAACGGTAATGACGAACAGAATCACGGACACGCGTGCGTGGCCAGCACACACACGCACACACACGCACACACACACACACACACACACACACACACACACACACACACACACACACACACACACACACACACACACACACACACACACACACACACGCACACACACACACACACACACGCACACATTAGCATCACAGGCTGGACTGCAATCGAGAAGCACCAATCAAGTTCACACGGCATCAAGAAGCCATGTTCACAAAGAAAACGGTGTCTGAGCACGGAGCAACGATGGTGGCAGGTGCCATGCCCACAAGCTGCGCAGTGTGGTGAGGGGCAGAAGCACATGCACCCAACGTCTGACGGTGTGTGCGACGCAACGTCGTGGCATCGTACGCATGCATCGTGTATGCGCCAGCAGCGCTCACCGTGCCAAACAACAGGGATCCTGCACCGTCTGCTGTCGCCACGCAAGCAAGAGGGCTGACGCCCAACACGTTGCCCGCCGGTGTGTCTCCGCTGATGTCCACAGCACTCACAGTCTCCATTGTGGTTGCGTTCAGCATGACCAACCGCGCAACACGCCCAACGCGCGACGACGAGGATGGCGCTGTGTCCGCAGTGCTGTGGTTGAGGAATACGGTGAGGGCAAACACAACCTCTTGTTGCTGCTGCCAGGCATGCGCATGCATGTCACCTTCACCTTCTTGCTGCGGCTGGGTGCGTGATGCGAACCGGCAGAAGCTGTGCACATCCTCCTCTGGCCTCGCTTTGGAATGTGCAGGTGTGAGTGGTGCTGTTGCTGTTGTGTTGCCTGTGAGCATGGACACGCAATGCAGCGTAGTTGAGGTGTTAGCTGCATGTACTGGGCCCACAGGGCCTTGCTGCTGTGCTGTGGCTGGTGTTGCGCTTAGCACCATGCACACCTGACTGCTGTCATGAAACCCTATCACCGCCGGTGTCCACGGAGCTGCTATGTCTGCACCGCTGTTGTGGCGAGCGGAACGGCGCGACCCTGAGGTGTGTTGGGTAGAAGACGGGTGTTGTGCCAGTGTACTATCAACAGAGTGCACAGGTGCACTTGTCTTGGTGACGGCAGAGTGCGGACACGGCACCGTGGTGAACCAGGCAATCTGCAGACGATCAGAGATGGTGCGCTGAACGTCCAGGGCATACAACCGGCACACATGTTGTTGTTGTTGTTGTTGTTGTTGTTGTTGTTGTTGTTGTTGTTGTTGTTGTTGTTGTTGTTGTTGTTGTTGTTGCTGTTGTTGTTGCTGCTGAGCAAAAGGTCTGCTCGATTCCGGCATCGCGCGTGTCATTCGTGGCGGTGAAGAAGAGTGCACATGTGTTGACCGGCCAGCGGTGGTGGCGTCGGGTTGGAAGCGGGTGAGGAAGATGGCACGGTTCCCGAAGACAACGGGTGTGTGAAGGGCTGTGAATGTACCGTTGACGCCATGCACCGTGTCATTGAGCCAAAGGGAGGCGTGCGGCACGCCGTTGGTGAGGTATGCAGCCATTGGGCCGTTCAGGGACGGTATCAGCATGACACCGTTGGTGGTTCCAGTCATGGAGTGAACGGCGCCCAAGTACGGCTTGATGAGCACGGGTTGGCCAAGTGGTGTGCCAATGACGTTTGCCCCATACAGGATGAGCCCGTCCACAGAGAAGCTGTCACCAGCCAGGTCCAGGAGCGGCAACGCGCGGCTTCCCAGCACCTCCTTTGTCTCCCAGATGATGGCTGGGTCGCCCGGCTTCAGTGCGTCTGCAGAAGGGTGATTGCTTTGCACGCTTGCAGAGCGGTTGCTTCGCGCGGCCAGCTGAGCCCTGGGTGTTCTGGCAGAAGGGCGCATGGCGTAGACGCCCGGCTGCGAGTTGAGCACCGTGGCGTTGGCGGTGCTGCAGATGATGACGTCGTTCCAGCTTGTGCACGCGGACAGCGGATGCCCTGCAGTCACCACAGGCCACGTGCTGGCGGCACCGGGAGCCAGCGTTGCCGCGCTTGAGTTCAGCAAGAAGGAGCGCGTACACAGCTCATCGCACCCATCAAACTGACATGTGCTAGCGCTCGGGGTCCCTGTTCGCAGTGTTGGTGTAGCTGTCGCGTTGGCATGGCTCACTGTCAGGAGGAGCAGGAAGAGGCTCAACACAATCACGTTCATCCTGTCGCTGCACGCTGTCATGGCCACACCAGTGATCGCAAAGCATGTAAAGAGGGGTGTGTGCGGGCGTGTGTGTATGTGTGGATGTGTGCGTCGTATATGCGGATGTGTGTATGTGTGTATGTGTGTATGTGGGGATGTGTGGATGTGTGTATGTGTGTGGATGGGGTGGAGGCTGATGAGGAATGAGCAAGGTGTTGGAGTGTAGTCCAGTCCAAAAAGCGAGCGCAACAGTGCAGCAACCTGAACGTGACACGCTGCTGTTGCTGCAGCACGCTCTGCTTTGTATTGTTGCAAGCAACAAAAAAAACACAAACAAACAAAACAATAGCGGAAAGTGTATTTGATTCGATGCACGTTTACTCACAGCAACCACAACAAACAACAGCAGAAAAGGCAGCAGCAAAGGCAGCAACGATGGCAGATGCGTTCAGTGCTGCGGATGCGAGTGTGGCGAAGATGAAGGTGGTGGAGCTGAAGGAGAGCCTGCGCAGCCGCGGGCTTGCGGTGTCTGGACGGAAAGCCGAGCTTGCCGCCCGGTTGAAGGAGGCCATGCACTCAGAGATTGAGCAGGAGCAGCAGGAGCAGAAGCAGGGTGGTGATGATCAGGAGCAGGAGCAGGAGCAGGAGAGCGCAGCAGCTCCTGAGGCGGAGGATGCGAACGAACAAGACAAGCAGGGAGAAGAAGAACATGGTGAAGATGGTCAGGGAGAAGGTGAAGATGAAGGTGAAGGTGAAGGCAAAAAGAAGCAGCAAGAAGATGATGAAGAAGAGGATGGCGAGCAAGAAGGTGAAGGTGAAGGCGAAAAGAAGCAGCAAGAAGAAGAGGCTGGTAAACACGAAAAGACGGAGGACGCAGACGCTGGCGAGGCTGCTGGCGAAGACGCGTCCGAAACAACCAAGGGCATGGACGATGGCGCTGACACTTCCTGGCCCAGCAGCAAGCCTGCTTCAACAAAGGTGACATCACATTGTGAGTGTGTGTGTGTGTGTGTGTGTGTCACAAGAGGGGCTGGCAACCATGGCTGTTGAAGTTGTTGATGTACCTATGCTCATAGCCATGTGTGGGTTGTCTTCGCGATACATTCATGTGATTTTCCCGCGATATGTTTTGCTTCTCCATCCCCTCTCCACTGTGCCAGAAGCCATCCAGTTCGCGGCGTGCACGCTGGCGCACCAGCTCAGAGCACTCACGGCCCTCTGCCTCAGACGATATCCTTGACGACACTGTCCTACAGGTCTGTGCCTCTTCTGCCTATTGGGTGTGCATGTGTGTGTGCTTGTGTATGTGCGTGCTTGTGCGTGTGTGTATGTACGTGTATGTATGTTTTTGTGCATTAGTGTGTATTTTTGTGTGCATATGTGTGCATATGCTTGTGTATGTTAAATGCATGCGTGTGTGTGTGTGCATGTGTGCATGCTTGTGTATGTTTGTGTGTGTGTGTTTTGATGGCGTGAAGGGAATGTAGAGCAGGCACAGATACGTGCAGAGTGCGCATTCGCTGCCTGCAATGCGGGTGTTGCCTGTCTCACACAATGGGCACACATGGGCGCATATGTTTCTTGTGCGGTGTTAACCTGTCAGGACATGTTGGGCACGGAGCCCGAGGAGGTGCCAACGAAGACGTCTGCGATGGAAACCGCTGCCGATGCGAGTGGCGCAGCAACAGCGGCAGATGACAGCAGCGCACAACTGCAGGAGGAGGATAAGCAGGAGGAGGAGAAGGACATTGGTGACACGGACAACGACTACCGTGTTGTCCATGTGCAGAACCTGAAACGCCCCTACACCCGCCTGGCTCTTCGCATGCTCTTGCAGCAGGTGTGTGTGTGTGTATGTGAGTGGGGTGGGAAGGTGAGGCTTGAAGTGATGTTCAATTCGTGCGCTGTGGCGCTTCTTTTAACTCAGTCCTCACCTTCACTCGAACATGATCACCACCTTGTCCATCATCATCTTCATCATCTTCATTGCCGTTGCGTCGCTGACAGCACGGCACGCTCGCTGATGGCCAAGAGGTCATTTCCACAGACTCCATCCGATCACAGTGCTACGTGGAGGTGCGCGTGCCCATGCATGCTGTGTGTATATGTGTGTGCCCATGCATGCTGTGTGTGCGCGTGCGTACGTCTGTGTGTGTGTGTGTGTGCAAAGTTGCATGAAGGCGTGTGCCTGTGCATGCTTCGTATGCGTGCATGCGTGTGTGCGTGTGTGAGTCATCACCACGCGCTCCACTGCACTTCACCTGATCTTGTTAACAACCTCCCCCACCTCCCCACTCCGCGCCATTCACCACCACACACCACGTCCATGTGCTTGCGTGTCAACAGTACACGACACACGAGGGCGCCGTCGCCACCGCTCGCGCCCTCTCTGGTCTTCCCTGGCCGCCCCGTCACGGCCAGGTGCCCCCCCCCCGTTCACCACATGTGTTGTGTATGTGTGTGTTTGTGTCTGCGTATGTGTGTGTGTGTGTGATTCTGTGTGTCTGTGTCTGTGTCTGTGTGTGTGATTCTGTGTGTGTATGTGTCTGTTGTGTCTGTTGTGTCTTGTGTCTGTGTGTCTGTGTCTTGTGTGTGTCTGTCTGTGTCTTGTGTCTGTGTGTATGTGTCTTGTGTGTGTCTGTGTGTGTGTCTGTGTCTGTGTGTTTGTTTCATGTGCATATTTCAGTTGGCTAATGCGTGACCCATGCCAAACCGCATCTGCCCCGCTCCCCCAACTGCTGTCGTGCGTCCATCAGCCGCTGAAGGCGACGCTTGTGGCTGAGGATGCCTTCAAGGCCAAGAAGAAGGAAGAGCAGGAAGAAGAAGGTCACATGCACACACATGCACATGGTGTTGCTGCATGAATTGTGTCATTGCGAGCTTGCAAGCAAGGCATCTCTCGTATTCATCCCCTCAATTCATCCCCTCGGCTACCGCCACACCCATCCGCCAACCAAGCCTTTTCCATCATTGACACCATTCACTCCACCATCACTGCCGCCATGTTTGCAGGGGAAGGCCAGCAGCGGCAGCAGGAAGCAAAGCCAGCCGTGCTGTTGGATGACCTCTTCAGGAAAACCAAGGTGTGGGCTGGGTGCAATCTGTACAATTCAACTGAGTTGAGTTTGGTGCGCCAGACTCGACGTCACACACACACATACACACACATGCACACATGCACGTTCGCATACACACTCTACACACACACACACACACACACACACACACACACACACACACACACACACACACACACACACACGTTCGTGCGCCTGAGCGTCTCCTTCCCCTTCCATCGTGTTCAGGCCCAGCCCGCCATCTACTGGCTGCCGGCGTCCGAGGAGGAGCAGCAGCGCCGAAAACAACTCCGCAACCAACCTGCCACCACCACCACCACCACCACCGCCACTATCCATGGCCGCGGCCGCAGTGGTGGTGACCGTGGTGGCAGCCGTCGTCGTCGTCGTCGTGGCTCAAGCGTGGACACAGACTCTGGCTCTGACTCACGATCGCGTTCACGATCACGGTCACGTTCACGTTCACGGTCACCGCTTCAACGCCGTCGCTCCTACTCCCGGTCGCCTGTGCGGCGAAGGTGAAGAGGGGGACGGAGAGGTGGGAGAGGAGGGGGGGGGGCAACCGGGCCGTCATGGGCGACGTGACATGTCGGCAACAAGGATGATGATGATGATGATGATGATGATGATGATGATGATGACGTACGTGTGTGTGTGTGTGTGATTTTGTGCTTGGCGATGCACGGGTGTTGCGGGATTTGTAGATGTTGATGTGCGCGTTGCTTGCGTCATGCTTGTGGGCTCCATGCACAGTCACAGCTCACGTGTTTGCATGCGTGAGTGTGCGCGGGTGTTGTTGTACGTGTCGTATGTGTAAGACATGCTTGGGTTGGTTGTTATGTGGTTGCTACATTTTCAAACAACGCGAAGCAAACAAGCAACGAGTAAAAAATTTAGTGTCACACATCCCATATCACCGCGGGACCACATCAAGCAGACGACGCAAAGATGATGTGCACACACGGGTCTGCATGTGTAGGCGCACGGATGCGAATGTGCGTGTGTGCGTAAGTGCGAACGAGTGCGTGCGCACAACTGTCAGTGCGAAAGGGTTGTGTCATGTCACGCTGGTGTGGCTGCTGCGTCCTGTGTGCCTGTCAGCCCGTACAATTGAAGGACGGTGCTGCTGATGTTCCACTGCAGCAGGATGGAGAGGAAGTAGACGACAAGAATGGGCACCATTGGATACAGGAACGCGTGTGTCTTCCGCAGAAACGGTAACGCTATCAGATTTGTTGTTGTTGTTGTTGTTGTTGTTGTTGTTGTTGTTGTTGTTGTTGTTGTTGTTGTTGTTGTTGTTGTTGTTGTTGTTGTGAGTAGTTGAAAGAGAAGCAAGCGTCTGTCACAGCGAGCGGGAAAAAATTCCAGCCCGAAACACACACACGCACACACACACACGCACACACACACACACACACACACACACACACACACACACACACACACACACACACACACACACACACACACACACACACACACACACACACACACACACACACCCTCGTACGCTGCGCACCGGAGTAGCCGAGGAATGTGATGTAAACATATTGCGTGAGAGCAATGAGCCAGAGCGTGTTCGCCAGCACCACCGACAGAAACCACGGCTTGGTAACGACTACAATAGCCGGGGAAGAGGAGCAGTCCAGGGAGGAGAAAGCGTCGTCAAGGACAGAGGTGGTGTGTTGTGTTCGTGCGCACTTACATGCACACACACATTCACTTCTACAAGCACGCAGAGACAACCATGCACAAATCCCAGCATGCACACACGCGTACACACGGGTAATTGTGCTTGCGTGTATGTATGTATGTGTGTGTGTGTGTTGGGTCGCACCTCCAACAAGGAGAATTTGGACGACGTGGAGGGTGACGAAGAGCGGGAAGAACGAGTTGCAGTGAATATCAAACGCATATCCAAACTCTACACTCTGATCCACGTGGTGTGCCATCGGTTCCCCTTTCAACACAAAGTTTGAAAACGCCCTGATAGATTGGTGGTTGCGCGTGAGCGCGAGTGTGTGTGTGTGTGTGTGTGTGTGTGTATGGTTGTGCACATTGCTTCGCGTGAGTAAAAGACCCTGCTCGTTTGTTGCCCACCTGCAAGAAATGCCGCCCTCTTTTCACCACACACACACCCATCCACACACACCCACACCCATCCACACCCACACACCCATCCACACACACACACACACACATCCACACACACACAACACCAGAGAAGTGTTGAGATGACGAGCCCAACTCCGATGCAGTCCACAAAGATGACCCAGAGCAACAGCTTGACAAAGGCTGCAAACGACAGCTTAAATATCACGGCACTGAGAGCGGTCGATACTGTCATGCACAGTAAACAACACAGGCAGCGCGCGACAGACATGCGAGCAGAACGTCGGGTGTGAGAGGAAGAAGAATACAGGATGGTACGGACACTCCATAACATGTGACAGCGGGGAAGGTGTATCCCCTAGAACCTTGCTCAACAAGTAACGTGCGGGTGTGGTTCAAAGCGAAGCACCACCGCCTACCGGTGAGAAATGCTGCAAGGAGAACGAGGAACGCCGGGTCATCTCGCGCCCACTGGTTCTTTGTGTCTGCATCGTTGTGACGGGTGTGGGCATCGTCAAGGAGAGCGATTGGGGGAACGGGCGGTGAGTCCATGGGCTGTCAGCGGGCAGCACGCCCAAATGCTAACAGTTCTGCAGGAGCAGGAGCAATGCCACTATCTAGCATGCATTGACGTCTTGCCATCTCATGTGCGAGTTCGCAACGTACTTTTGTGGTAGTGTACAGATCGGTAGCTGCACAGCCACCCATCGTTGTGCATGGTTTGCAAACGTACATGTGCGTGCGTGTGTGTGTGTGTGTGTGTGTGTGTGTGTGAGCGTGTGTGTGTGTGTGTGTGTGTGTGTGTGG